AAGGCTCTAGCATCCACTACGAACGTCAAATACGACATCTCAAACACTTTCGGTGGGTATTGTACCTAAACTCGTCAAAATACCGAATATAGGGAGGTACTGATATATGGGGTCTATACGAAGACCTGGACCTGCATAGACATTTTTCTGTCACAGACTGTAGTTCCCATTACGAACTCTAAATACGTAATTTGGAACAATTCCGGTGAATAATGTCGCTAATATCATCAAAATACCGAATATAGGGAGGTACCGTTATATGGGGGCTATACGAAGACGTGGACCTGCCCAGATAATTTTCTGTCATAGGCTGTAGTAACCATTTCGAACTTCAAATATCAAAGTTGAAACAATTCCGGTAAATAATGTCGCTAAAATCATCAAAATACCGAATATCGGGAGGTACCGTTATATGGGGGCTATATGAAAACGTGGACCTACATGGCCCATTTACGAACTTAACGTGCCTACTGAAAAAATAAGCATTTGTGCAAAATTTTAGCCTTCTATCTCAATTCGTTCGAAAGATAGCGTGATTACAACAGACAGACAGACGTACATGGCTAAATCGACTTAGAATTTTACGCTGATCAAGAATGTATATACTTTATTGGGCCTGACATGAGTATTTCGAGGAGTTACAAACGGAATGACAAAGTTAATATACCCTCCATAGTATGGTGGAGGGTATAAAAGCAGCTAAGTTCGCTGGGGCCGAACTTTTTATAATTTGAAAATTTTCAAAAAATCCACTGAAAAATAATGCCACAATGAAATCCTTTATATGGAAGCTATACAAAGACGAGGTGCTGCATAAGTAATTATACCCTACACCACAAGGTGGTCAGGGTATTATGTCTTTGTGCATTTGTTTGTAACAGGCAAAAGGAAACGAGATAGACACATAGTTCCTTTTGATGATCTGCATAGAATCACATTCTGAGTCGATTTATGCATGTCCGTCCGTCCGTCCGTCTGTCCGTCTGTCCATGTATTTTTGTAAACAAAGTACAGTTCGCATTTATTGCTCTATCCAGATGAAATTTTGCACCAATTATTTGTTTGGCCCAAGGAGGAACCCTATTGAAATTGGAGATAATCGGTAAAAATTTAGATATAGCTCCCATATATATCTTCGTCCGATTTGCCTTTTATTGTGCACCAAACGTGTAATATCAGTCCGAATAGTATGGAATTTTGCACGTACGATTAGATTGGACCTGAAAATAAGTATGCTAAATTCGATCGATATCGGTTCAGATATAGCCATATATATTGAACATCCGATTTGTTATTTTTGTCCTCCGCAGCCGTTATATGCACTCTGTTACAACAATATTTGGGGAAATATATCAAATGCAGCTCAGAAATACCTTTGCTAAATTTTATCGAGATCGGTTCAGATTTGGATATAGCTCCCATATATATCTTCGTCCGATTTACCTTTTATTGTGCATCAAACGTCTAATATTTGCCCAAATTGGATTTGGCACATACGACCGAATTGAGTCTAGAAGGTAGATATAGACATAGCTCCTATATGTACTGTTCATCCGATTTGTTATATTTGTTACCCACAGCCGTAATATCCATTTCAACGATATTCAAGGAAATATATCAAATACAGCTCAGAAATATCTTTGCCAAAGTTTATCAAGATCGGTTCCGATTTGGATATAGCTCCCATATATATTTTTATCCGATTTCAAATTAATTGCGACCAAATGGACAATACAAGTCCGAATTTAAAAGATACAAATGCTTCGTCATATTTAGTCCTTTGAACTTTAAATTATTATTATAATCATAGCGTGTATGATTGAATTCTCCCATAAAAACTTTTAATTGTTATGCGGAGCTCTACTAAATTAGAAAAGTGGTGTAGGGTATCATAAAGTCGGCCCCGCCCGACTTTAAGACTTTCTTTAATGGTTATTTATTGTTTTTTTCCAAACTTAAAATACGAAATTTGAAACAGTTCTGGTGAATAATGTCGCTAATATCATCAAAATATCGGAAGGTGCAGTTATATGGGGGCTATACGAAGACCTGGACCTGCATAGACGATTTTCTGTCACAGACTGTAGTTCCCATTACGAACTCTAAATAGGTAATTTGAAACAATTCCGGTTAATAATATCGAGAGGTACCGTTATATGGCGGCTATGCGAAGACGTGGACCTGCAGAGCCATTTTTTTTTTGCTATAGGCTAGAGTATGCATTACGAACTTCAAATACCAAATTTGAAAAATGTCGCTCCGGCGAATAATGACGCTTAAATCACTAAAATACCGAATATCGGGAGGTTCCATTATATGGGGGCTATTCGAAAACGTGGACCTACATGGCCCGTTTTCAATACCAAAAGTCCTGCAGGCACGATATACATTTGAGTACAATTTTATCAACCTACTATTTTTACTTTCGAAAGCTAAAGTGATTTCCATAGACGGACAGACGGAGAGCTAAATCGACATAGAATTTTATGCTGATCAACAATATATACAGGATGAGATAAAAAACTGCAACAAAATCAAACGCCATCATTTTTAATTTTTTTTTTTTTTAATTTTATTGAATGAAAACCAAAAATGTCAGAAACAGCATCAAATTTTAGAATATGTTTAGATTTGTTCGAATTGGTCACCTTTGGCACGAATTATGGCCTTCAAACGGCCAATGAAACCGTCACACGCTGCCGAATGTTGCTTTGCGGTATTTTGGCCCATTCAAGGCGAATCGCTTGCTTGAGGTGATCGATACTTTGGTATTTTTTAGTGCCAACCTTACAAAATACTCCAGACACAATAGTTCAACGGATTGGTATCCGGAGATTTTGGTGGCCATTGTGTGCTGGAAATGAAGCGAAGAACATCATTTTGTAATCATTCTTGGTGTGCGATGGGCTGAGTCCTGTTGGAATGTCTAAGGGTACGGCCAAAATGTTTGCGTCTCCAAGTCTTTAATACACCCTCCAGAATATTTTCGCTATAATATTCGGCATTTATTTTGATGTCACGGTCGATTAATAAGAGCGTCCCACACCATCACCATGACCGGCGCTTGAGTTCTGGTGGCCAACCGAAGGTTTCCATTTTCGGTGATCGACACTTTGGTATTTTTTAGTGCCAACCTTGATTTCCAAAATACTCCAGACACAATAGTCCAACGGATAGGTATTCGGAGATTGGCGGGTGGCGCATGCTGAGTGCGATGGTGCTGAGTCCTGTTGGAATGTGCAAGGTCTGCGGCCAAAATGTTTGATACACCCTCCAGAATATTTTCGCGATAAAATTCGGAATTTATGCTGGTTCGAAGATGGGCTATATCGGTCCACGATATCGTATAGCCCCATATAACGGTACCCCCGATATTCGGTATTTTGATTATGTTAGCCACATTTTTCAATGGAATTGTCTGAAAATCCACAAAAGTAGTTCCTTGTGGGTACTTTATACCTCGACAGAGAATTATCTATATAGGTCCACAATATCGTATAGCCCCCATATAACAGTACCCCCCGGTATTAGGCATTTTGATGATTTTAGCCATATTTTTCAACGGAACTGTCTGAAAATCCACACAAGAAGTTCCTTGTGGGTACTTTATGTCTCGGCAGAGAATTATCTATATAGGTCCACAATATCGTATAGCCCCCATATAACGGTACCCCCGATATTTGGTATTTTGATTATGTTAGCCACATTTTTCAATGGAATTGTCTTAAAATCCACACAAGTAGTTCCTTGCAAGTACTTTACCCCCTGTGAGAGAATTGTCTATACAGGTCCACGATATCGTATATCTCCCGTATAACGGTACTCCCCGAAAATCCACACAAGAAGTTCCTTGTCGGTACTTTATACCTCAGCAGAGAATTATCTATATAGGTCCACAATATCCTATATCTCCCATATAACGGTACCCCTACGGTATTCGGTATTTTGATGATTTTAGCCACATTTTTCAATGGAATTGCCTGAAATTCCACAAAAGGATTCCCTTGTGGGCCCTCAAAAACAGTTGTTTATATAGGTCCACTATATCGTATATCCCCCATATAACGGTACTCCCCTATATTCGGTATTTTGTTGATTTTAGCCACTTTTTCCAATGGAATTATCTGAAAATCCAGACAAGGAGTTCCTTGTGAGTACTTTACACGCAGACATAGATTGGTCTTTATAGGTCCACAATATCGTATATCCCCCATATATCGGCACCTTCCTATATTAGATATTTTAAAGATTTTAAACGAATTTTTAATGGATTTTATTTTTTTGAAAATTTTCTAATTCGTTCCAAATGGTGGAGGGTATTCAAAGTTCGGCCCGGCCGAACTTACTGATTTTTTACTTGTTTTATCTTCTTTTTTCTTATCTTTATCAATCACAAAATCGAATTCGAATTTCTCTGCCTAGTCCTGGTATATAGCTATTTCGGGATTTTAGATCCGACTTTTCGACATAAATCAGGTGTTTACATAGAGGAGAGTATACATAAGTCTTGCTTTTTAATTTCCCCTATTGTCAGATTTTTAATTTTTTTCATTTCCATTCAAGTGAAATCGTATAAAATCCATTGGCTATGAAAACCCACAAGATCCCAACAATGTTGCAGTTAATAATAGCATTTCTTCTATTTGTAGATCTTAATTTATGTTTTCTTTATTCTTTTTCTTTTCTTTCTTTCATTTCATTTCAATAAAACCACATTCTTTTCTTCATTAAGCCATTGAAATTGACCTGCCCCCTCCCCGTCCCCGGCTCCTCACCCCTCCATGGCAATGAAAAATTCTTAAACGCATGCGTAACGGTCTACCGACCATCCAACCATCCATCCAGACTTTCTTTCCGTGGTGCGTTCTCTAAAGGGTAAGTGCTTTGTGGCATCTTAGTTTTAAGACGAGTTGATGAGATTCTTATTGTGGCTCGGTAAGTGAAATGTTATGCCGCAGTCTTTTGCTGTTTGGCATATGGATAGCTTGATTTTTACTTACCCTAGTGACGTTGTTGTTGTTGTTTTTATTTGCTGCTGGTTTGATGAAAGTGAAGACATACAATTATCCAGTAATCTGTAATTAAAGTTAGAAAAAAATAGAGAAGCGAAATGTTGGCTGTTAATAAATGGGAATTTATGACAAGAGTTTAAGCAGAAATATGTAGGGGAACAATTGGAGGGCAATAGAATTTTGTATGTAAAAATAATTGCTCCTAAACATAATTAAATGTGAATAATGAGAATAATTCTAAAATTTAATCAAATTCGCTGAATTTTATCAAAAATTTAGGTTAAAAATCTTTAATAAATTAAATAAAGATTATACTGAAGATATGTACAGGGGCCCATTCCAATCGACGAGGCTTGTCCGCAGGCAACATTCTTTGCGTCAATTGAATTTTGTACAGGAACAAATGCAAATCAATGCGAACAATCCGTTGTAAAGTGGACCGAACCATGCCCAACTGCTGAGAACGGCGTTTTTGGGATGTTCTTGGGGACCTTTTAACACTGGCTCGTACGGCAGCGATATTCTCGGCCGATCGCCTTGGTCGACTTTTATATGGCCTCTTCGGATTAGAAAGAGCTTTACCAGTCGAAAATTTTTCGTATAAACGCTTAATGGTGTTCTTAAGGCGCACTTCTCACATTTTTTTTTTTCACAATTGACTTCTTCTGTTGAATGTAAATTTCAACTATTTCAGAGCGCGTGTATTGGTTCATGGTAAAAATCTGCTTGGACTAACGCTTCACGCGGTAGCGATGTGACATCTCTGTCAAAAGTTATGGCGTTGCCAGATGGGTCCGTCGAATATAGACAACCCTGTAAAACTAGACCCTGATTTTCTTCAAACACCGCACGGCTGCATAGGTTCACCCCTTTTGGTACCTTCCCCAAATAAAGCGAAATAATATCCAAATATCGCAATATTTTTATTAAGTCAAATATTTTGTATTGAAGGTACATTATCTTTGTCATTGGGTGAGATGAAACAGCTACAACCAACTACAGACTGCTGTCATTTCCAAGCCACTAGTCCGACAGCTGTTAAAAGCTGTTATATTGTTTACAAGCATGCAAAAGCATATTGGTGAGAATTTTCTAGAAAAAAAGTTATTCGTGATAGAATTCAATCGTGATAATGTGATTTCTTTATATTTGGCTGGAAACCCACAAGTGGCTATTGTCAGGGCACTTCAGCATTTAAATGTGAATAAATCTTTTGGGTCTCGTACCGTAATACTGGTGGCGTAGCCCGACATCAAGGAAGTGGACGGAAGAAAACAGCAACATCAGCAGAATTGGTTCGAAAACTAAAAAAAAAACGTGATCGAACCCCGTGCTGGCCGAAAAATGGCTCGTGAGCTGAATATATCGCAATATTCCATTCGGCAAATATTGAAAAATGAGCTCGAGGTAAAGCCATTGAAATTCCAAAAATTGCAAGAGCTTACACCGCAACATAGAGAAAGTAGACTCAAAAGAGCTACAAAATTGCTTCCGAGTTGGCTGAAAGTGGTGAGCTGCCGTATTTGGTTTTCTCCGATGAGACAACATTCGTTTTTCAGCAGTTTGTAAACAAACAAAATGATCGTGTTTATTTGCCAAAGAGGTCAGCTGAAAATGTGCACCTTTGGTTGGACACCAGAACTCAAGTCCCGGCCATGGTGATGGTGTGGACCGCCATAACAGCCGATAGTCGCTCTACGCTCGTATTAATCGACCGTGGCATCAGAATAAATGCCAAATATTATCGCGAAAATATTCTGGAGGGTGTATTAAAGCCTTGGGCACGCAAACATTTTGGCCGCAGACCTTGGACATTCCAACAGGACTTAGCACCATCGCTCTCAGGACGCGTCACCCAAGAATGGTTACAAAATGACGTTCCTTCAGGTTCATTTAGAGCGCACAATTGCCACCAAAATCTTCGGAATCCAATCCGTTGGACTATTGTGTCTGGATTATTTTGGAACGCAAGGTTGGCACTAAAATATATCAAAGTGTGGATCATCACAAGCAAGCGCTTCGCCGGTAATGGGTCAAAATACCACAGAGAAACATTTGGGCAGCGTGTGATGGTTTCATTGGCGTTTGAATGTTAAGTGCGTAAATGGGCCATTTTGTCCATGTTTTCGAATAGATGGAGGCTATACGAAAACGTACCTCCCGATATTCGGTATTTTGACGATTGTTCACAATTCTGTACTTAGGGTTGGTAACGTGTTTTAACTCCTTTGCCAGAATGTTGTGTATGTTGTTTCGCGTTTTCCCATAGTCCCCATATTGCGGCACCTGCCTTTATTCGGTATTCCGATGATCTTAGAAACATTTTCAGCGGAATCGTATATAATTTGGTAAGTAGAGTTTGTAATGGGTTCCTTCTTCTGTTGCAGAATACTGCTGGAAAAAGCTATCTTACATTGCTTTGGTACCATCGACTTGACAGTATTTCAAAAGCTTTTCATCAACACATTTCACTGTCAAAAATGAAAGTCGACCTAATATTTCATCCTGATCCCTCCACAATAGTATGGAGGATATATTAAGTTTGTCATTCCGTTTGTAACACCTCGAAATATAGATTTTAGAGTCCACAAAGTATAAATATTCTTCATCAGCATTAAATTCTATGTCGATTTAGCCATGTCCGTCCGTCTGTGGAAATCACTCTAGCTTCCGAACGAAATGAAGTAGGCTGATAAAATTTTACTCAAATGTATATGTACTATGACCGCAGGACTTTTGGTATTGAAAATGGGCCATGTAGGTCCACCTTTTGGTATAGCCACCATAGAATGGAGGTACCATTCTATTTTCGGTATTTTTATGATTTTGGTGACATTATTCACCGAAATTGTTTCTACTTTGGTATTTGAAGTTCGCAATGGATACTACAGCCTATGACAGAAAATTGTCCGTGCTGGTCCACGTCTTCGTATAGCCCCCATATGATAGTTCCTCCCGATACTCGGTATTTTGATGATTTCAGCAACATTATTCACCGGAATCATTTCAAACTTCGTATTGGAAGGTCTTAATGGGTACTACAACCTATGCCAAACAATTTCGTTAGCAGGCCTTCGTCTTCGTATGGTCCCCATATAACGGGTTTCAATTAAGTAGTAGTTTTCGGATTTTTTTTTTTTTTTGGGAAAATTACAAGTTTCTTCCAAATGGTGGAGGGTATTAAATGTTCGAACATAGCCTCTTTTATGCTTGTTAATGGACTTCCAAGGTATAAATTAATCATTTAAACTCGATTTTTTTCCTAATTTTACTCAAAACTTGTGAATTATTTAAGGATAAATTGAAGATATTGTCTTTAATGTTTTTTATTTCAGAAATATTTTAGCCACAAAATATTGAATGTAAAGAAGAATATATTCAAAATTTCATAGCTCAGGAAAAGAATCGTAAATTTATTAATATCATTTTAAAAACTTTCATCCAAAAATTGTACACCTTTAGGTTTTTTCGAGGTTTCCGGTGTCAAATTGGGTATTTTTATAGAAATATGTACTGAAGATTTCCCAGCCACATATGGAGGGTTTTTCCAATGACCACATATTTCTTTGCCAAAAATTGCTGATTTTCAAGAAGTTATATCAAAAAATCGCGGATTTTGTAACAATTTATTAAATTAATTCATGTATAACAAGTAAAAAAGCAGCTAAGTTCGGCCGGGACAAACTTCTTATTCCATTTTCAAAAAAAATTCCGTTGAAAAATACCGCCCAAATGAAAACCGCTATATGAAGGCTATACGAAGACATACATAAGTGATTTGTGTCATAGGTTGTAGTAACGGTTCCGATCTTCATATACGAAATTTGAAACAATTTCGTTGAATAATGGCAGAAGTTATGAAAATAACAAATATCTGGGGGTACAGTTACCCCTTGTGTGAATTTTAAGAAAATTCCACTGATAAATGTGGCTAAAATCATAAAAATATTGAATATCGGAATGTGCCATTATAGGGGGGATATTGTGGACCTATGTAGACAATTCTCTTCCAGGGGTTAGGTACTCACAAGGAACTCCTTGTGTGGATTTTCAGACAATTCCAAACCAAACGGAATGACAAACTTAATCAGGGCTGTCACAGAAACCATGTCGGTTTTGCTTATTGTCGTTTTTGTAAACCAATGTTGGTTTCATTTGGTGTCATGAAACCAAGTTGGTTTTGTCAATTTCGAATGTAAATAAAACCAATGTTCGAAACAGCTGCTGTTGCTTACATGTGTTGTTTGTTTATTTGTCATTAAAATATCAGTAAAAGTAAAGTAAATAACAAAAGGAATAAGTCGCTATAAATAAAGTAAGATGGCCTCAGCAGTGGTAGTTTTTGTGTTGTTGGACGAAGAACGCTCAGAAAAGGTGACGAGAAAAGCTTTCAGCAACCCACTGGAGTTGCCGGAGATAGCGTAAGTATTTTTTTTATTGTGAACTTACTCATAAAGCTGCTTTGCAGATTTGAGGTTTATGGTCCTTTAAAAATTATTTGAAAAATCCATGTTTATGGTCCTTTAAATATCCTTTAAAAAATCTTTAAAAATCCACGTTTATGGTCCTTTAAATGTCCTTTAAAAAATCTTTAAAAATCCACGTTTATGGTCCTTTAAATATCCTTTAAAAAATCTTTAAAAATCCACGTTTATGGTCCTTTAAATATCCTTTAAAAAATCTTTAAAAATCCACGTTTATGGTCCTTTAAATATCCTTTAAAAAATCTTTAAAAATCCACGTTTATGGTCCTTTAAATATCCTTTAAAAAATCTTTAAAAATCCACGTTTATGGTCCTTTAAATATCCTTTAAAAATATTTAAAAATCCACGTTTATGGTCCTTTAAATATCCTTTAAAAAATATTTAAAAATCCACGTTTATAGTCCTTTAAAAAACCCACGTTTATGGTCCTTTAAAAATTCTTTAAAAAATCCTTAAAAAATCCACGTTTATGGTCCTTTAAAAATTCTTTAAAAAATCATTAAAAAATCCACGTTTATGGTCCTTTAAAAATTCTTTAAAAAATCCTTAAAAAATCCACGTTTATGGTCCTTTAAATA